ATCTAGTTTGGTTATTAATAATTAGACCAGGAATCGCCAAGGTTTTCAAGCCAAACGGCTTGACCGATTCTCATGAAATTTTGTGAGCGTATTGAGTAGGTCTGAGAATCGGCCAACATCTATTTTTCATCCCCCTAAATGTTAGGGGTAGTCCATCCCTATTTTTTTTTTAGGCAAAACAACGTTTGCCGGTATGGCTAGTTTAATATACAAGTGTTCCGTTCAGAAATAATTGGCATATGATAATTTCTAAAAAAAAAATGGAAGATGATTGTAAGTTCCTTGGAAGGAACGTCTAAATGTGTTATAATGGCCAATTATTTGTAATTTTTTTTATAATATACAATAGTTCATTTGTAGTAATTTTCATACAACTAGGGTGAAAATTTCAGTTATAGTAGATGTTTCATAAAATTCAACTGCACAGCATTTTCTGACTAATTTTTTTTTGCTATGTTTTGTTTTTTAATTTTGTACGATGTCAATAAATATTTAAATATACGATCGCAAGTGAAATCTATTATAAATAGCTTGTTATGTTGTATGTCCTCACAACTAAATGTAGATAAAATATAATTGTATAGAAACAATTGCCACTACTAAATATCAGTAATAACTAACTTGAGATAACTTCTAACTGTTTGAAAAGTACGCACTTTTCAATTAATTTTTTATTGTGTGAATTCTTTACTAATGTTGTGAAAGCAAAAATAACTCTGTCTGTCTGTTACGCTATCACGCCTAAACTACTAGATTTAAATGAAATTTAGCACAAATGTAGTTAAGAGCCTGAGAAAATTACATAGGCAACGTTTTAATGCGAAAAATTTTTTTTTTAATTATTTTTGTAAAGGGGGTATGTAAGAATTTGGCATAAATAATTAAAGTTACTATACCACGTGGGCGAAATCGCGGACACAGCTAGTACACAATAAAGACAGCGTTTCTAACAAAAAAAAATGTATTTTCTATATTATTATACTTGTATAAAATATATGTAAAACAGATCTAAGTTATGTGTGTGTGTGTTATATAATATTTTGTGATATGTATATGGTACACGATGTCAACACAAATCTTAATACTTAATGTTACCAGTTTTACACACTATTTCACGTGCAAATAGACTTTTAAACAGGAAGGAATGTGCATGTAAATGTAGACAAAATTAGCTGCCTTTACACGCTATTTCACGCGCAAATAGGTTTTTACACGGGAAAGAATGTGCGTGTAAAACAAAGAGAAAGGGAAAGACCGCGCGCGCCAACTGTGAGCGCATTCCCGCGTTCATCGTGAGTGCTTTGGCGCCATTTTGTTATAATTATCATTGCAAAATGGCCGACATCTAACTATAGAGCAAAAACATTATAGAGTTATTGATAATTTATAAATCTTAACCGTGTCTTTATTATTCCGTCCTTTGTAATATCCGTATTATCTTTTCGGATTAAGATCTATAATATTTGGCTTTCCCGCGCTATTTCACGCACGCTCTTGATAGCGCGTGAAAGAATATGTGATGTAAAGGCAGTTATTAAGAATAAATACTTATTGTTTTCTATTATTGGCACAAGCTCTAAACGAAGGACTGTATATATAAATATATTTTATAAAGTAGTAACAAACAAATAAACAATATATCTTATATTGTTTATTTGTTTGTTACTTAGTCACACACATAACATGTTCATAAGAATATAAAAATACATAATACAACATAAGATTTATAAAATATATTTATATATACAGTCCTTCGTTTAGAGCTATTATCTATCTATCTAGATTGATATCTATCTATCTATATATATTGGTAAATATAATGATGAAAATACGGTTTTTAGGAAGAAATAATATAATTTTATGTACAAAAGTAAAACTAAGGCTAATAACAATGATATATATATTTTTCTATTTTAATTAATAGATAACAACCATAATATGTAAAGAGCACCTCTTTCTTGGTCGTATTGTGGCACACAAGCTAATATTTTTTGTTCTATTTTTTATTAATTACATTAAATATTGTTTATTTAATTTAATCATGGAAGAATTAAACGTTATCTGCTGTTAATTGTTTAATTACAGTTACCCAAAAATACTAACACAACAATAAAAATATTTTCATTCATGTAGGTCTGTTACAGACGCTTATGATATGTCAAATCTACCGTCAGTTCGGAATGATACCGAGATGAGAAGAACTGAGACACTCAGCTCTTACTCTTTTCAAATGAGTCGGTACACGATTACAAGAATACAAATTTATTTTTAATCGAAAAGCTACGTATCTTATTTCTCATGTACAAAAGTTGATAGAGACGCCTGTTTTGTCTCTTTCTGTCTAATTTGGAAAATAGCAGGAATGAATGGTTAAAACGATTTATTTACTTCAATAGTGTGGTATAATAGATACTTTTTTAGACCAACGTCGTGTTTATTATTCATCTAGCTATTGATTGATATTGTAGAAAACGACGAAACTATGTCACTATATTGGTAACATATTAAAATACAGCACTTGGGGAATATATTTAATATGTTACGAATATAGCTATTCTAACATATTTCGTAACATATTAAATATATTCAATCAACAGCTAGATGAACAATAAATATGACGTTGGTATATAAAAAGTATCTATTATACCACAGATAGTATTTATACTAAATAAAAAAAAATCTACTATTATTACGCAGTAGTAATTTAGTAGACTTTTTTGCCGTACACATTACTTCTATTTTGTATAAAGTAGAATTTATTATACATAGTAAATTATAGTATAAACAATATAAATAGTCTAATATACGTCCTAAGAGAGATATAACCCTCATGTATAATATGATAATGACAATCTTCAAATGTTGCCTAGTACGTAATAATAATAAATGTCCTGTTTCCGAAATTAGACTATAAATAATTTAACATTCAGTAATACTATAGACAAATAATAATAAAGACGAACAATATTAATCTATTCACAATTTGACCACAGAGTTTAACAATAAACAAAAGAGTTTATATGCGTGTGTGTGAAAACATGGCAGTGTAATGTTTTTTTTTAGATTAATGTATTTTTTATACACAATTAAAAAAAAATATTAGCATTCTGCACTTATCTACATATTACTGCGGAATTTCATACTCAATATTACCATGTGTTTGACACACGGATATATACTCTTTTTGTTGATTGTTAAAGTTTATGGTCTATAACCGTAAACCTTATGGTTATTGTATTATATTATATTACTTTATTATTATCGCTGAAGGCTATTATTTAAGAAGGAACATTTTAAGTTTCTGTGAAGTAACTAGAGTGAGTCACCTATTTGTTTCTTAATTCAGATATAAACTTAATATTTTACTAATTTAAAGATTGTATCTTCGAGTGAGTCATTTTATTGTAGAGTTATACACTCTAGAATCGGAATATCGGTTTTTTTTAATTGAAAACTAAGTAGGTGATATACTTATCAAGAATGTTAAGGAGATCCGTAACCGTAACCGAAACTATCGGATATCCGATATAAAAAATATCCGTAACCGTAACCGAATCCAAAATAAAAGTTTCGGACAATATCGCATGGCCGGAGCCTAATTGAGCACGTTATGTAACCATTTTATTACCTATTTGTATTTTACTTTTGAAGTTCCTTAAAAATATTATCAGTAACCGAAATTATCCGAAACTAACGGATAATCCGAAATAATTTCATATCCGCATTCGTATCCGGTATAATAATCATTGCTATATCCGAAACCTATCCGTATCAGAAATTTCATATCCATAACATCCCTGATACATCTATATCTTTCCTAATGATATTAATATTAACAGGTTCTTTTTGCAGATTTTGTTATTATTACAATTCTCTTGAAACTGTTTTAGTAAAAACAAACACATTACACGCAAAAACATATTATTTTTTATTAATACCCTTTTCTACATTACACAGAGAAATAAAACAAAAAATAATAATACCCTTATCTTTGCTTTCTCTATCCACCCAAAGGTAGTCTGGAAGAGAGATAAGAACTGTTTAAAATGAAATTCTCTTCTGTCAGTTTATGAATATTTACTATTTTAATTATTTTCTGTATTCAGTGCACTAAAGAGTATAAATAAATAAATAAAAATAATTGTAACAAAAAAATTACCTCTGTACTAATTCCATTGGAAGTTGCACAGCAGTGATTAATAGAACAGTTCATCACGCTCAGGATGCTGTTGGTGCTGGCACGTACTCCGTACCAGGGATGCTCGTCTTTTCTGCATTGTAGCGTAGAATCAGTTCACGCGGTACATATCCGATGCACTGCAGAATCGTGACAGCCCCAGCAGCACCCTGAGAAGTTATAATAATATTTCTGAATGTTTCACACAGTGCTATCTAGTGCCGAGCTTAAACAGTGCTAGTGGACAACCGGTAGAAATCCTTAGATATATATATATATATACGGAAAAAATAATATAAGTATATTTATAAAATATAGATCTAAGTATTTATGTCAGTTGTCTAGTACCCATATAGACAGAAAACACTCAGAGTAATATAATCATACTCATGATTACAAATGTCGGCGAGGAATCGGACCCCCGACCATCGTAAGACGGTCTAGCAGCTTAACCACTAGACCACCGAGGCCGTCAAATAAATGCATTATAATAGATGTCCGCTATAGGACTGGGGTCTATGAATAACACATCTTGTAATTATTAACACTTTCTTTTTTATCTTTAACTCCTTTGACAGCCTCGGTGGTCTAGTGGTTTAGCACACCGCTTTACTATCCGAGGGTCGTGGCTTCGATTCCTCGCACGGTACAAACATTTGTATTCATGAGTATGATTGTTTGTATCGGTCTAGGTGTTTTCTATGTATTTATATCAGTTGTCTAGTACCCATAACACAAGCTTGGGACTAGATGGCGCTGTGCGAATTGTCCTAATTGATTATTATTATTACTTTCAAGGAACTAAAAGCTATTAAATTTTTAGGCCAAGAAAACGTGTTTCCCGCCGAGACCGAAGGCAAGGAAAAGAAAAAAGCTAATCGACACGGATTCACAGCGCTCCCAGTCGCAGGACTCTGGAGTCGAGTCGCAAAATAGTCAGAAGTCACAGGTGGGCAGTAGTAAGCGTTCGGGGTCGTCCGTAGAATCGGAGTCGGACTTTTCCAAGCCTCGCTCTCGCTCCCGTTGTAGCTCGGACTCCGACGGTTCCTCTAGGAAACGTAAATGCACGAACGACCCTGATCCTTCGGGCTCGGATAGCTCAAACAGAAAACGTTCATCCAACTCTCACGAACACTCGGATGACGAGAGTTTAGCTAAAAAATGTAAGCTCGAGGACGATTACGATAACTCCGACAGCTTGGCTAGGAAATGTAGGTCCAACACCGATAGGTTTGTTAACGAAGATTCCCTTCAGTGTTTAATTAAATCGGTCAGCGAGCCGTCCATGTCGGAACGAAGTAAAGACGATGATAGTAAGGACCTGTGCATTATATGCTACGTCAGGCCGAAGTCAGGGGTTTTCGCTCATGGCAGAGTGGCACATATCTGCTGCTGCTACAAATGTGCCGTCAAGGTATGGAGCACATCGAAACGCTGCCCGGTATGTAATTGCAAAGTGAGCAATGTCCTCAGGGCGGTTGTTATGTAATGTAAAACGACATCCTGTACAAAACGTATTTATTTAGGTACATGTAAATAAAAAAAAAATAATAACAATCGAAGGAAAGTTTAAACAAAATAGAAAAAACTTAAAATAATATAAAAAAGAACACAACTCAAACCATAAATAATTATTAAAACAACTTAAAAAAAATAACACAATTAAAACTTTTAAACGAACTCTGAAATAAAACATTTTAATGCAATAAAAATAGGTATCAAAAATATAAAAAAATATTACTTTATTAATATAGGTTGAAAATTCGAATGTTTGTAAATAAATAAAAAATGTATATACATAATTTGTATGATAAATATAGAAATAATGCTAATGAAGAGAAGATGGCCAGAAAGAGCTAATGGCCTTAATTGGTATTTTAACTCGAATATAGAATACCAATTCTCAATTGGTACACTTCAAAAGAGACCTCTAAACAATGTCTCCTAAGGTTCTAAGTCGAGATATAGAAATACATTTTCGGATGTTTCGACAGCTCATTGGGAAACATTGTGAAAATTAAACAACCTTCGAATTCCTATAATGAAGGTACACCCTGTATCAATTCCGATTGGTCGTATTTCTTATAATTATTACCGACAATATACAGGGGCGGATAGTGAATTTGTGGGGTTTACAACTAAAATAATACACCGACCAGAAATTCCCGTTCCTTTCAATAGACTCGCACTTGAATTGACTTGAGGGAATGGGGGTTCTTTGTATCCTCGGGGCCATGGGCTACAGCCCAAAAAACCCTTAGGTTGATCCGCCCCTGACAATATATATATAAAATTGAGATATTATATACAATACTGTGTGTAATGTATAGATTGGTTATTAAGTTAGGTTTTATACAAATATTCTTTCTATGCATTATCTAAGGATTGTATATATCTGAATTTGATATTTTTTTAGAGTAAAAGACAATATAAGACGTTCTATTCTTGTCAATTAATTTTTCTGGTTGAAATTGGAATGGCAAACAAGATGGCGGTCCACTTGATGGTAGGTGGTGACCGTCGCCTATATACCTGAAGAGCTGATACGCCTGCTATACCCCTCATGTGGTGCCATTTTGTAGGAATAAAGTTATGCCTTCGTACCTGTAACTTCAAATTGAAACACAGCGTAAGTAAGCTGCTTGGTAGAAATAAGTAATTTGGAGGTGGGTACGCAGGTGAGAAAAATCATAAACTTTATTACGTGTGAAATTGTTTGTCCGCGATGGACTCGAAACTACTGAACCGTTTGCAAATTTGATTGTGTACAATTGGGTACAAAGATGGGATAGCTTACAATCTCGATTTTTAGTCGTAATATTATTTTAATCAAGAACCTCAGCCACAGCGACGCGTGGCCGGGTCTGCTGTTGTAAAAAGAAGAAAAAGATAAGAAAGATAATTCGCACAAGTGTAAATATAATTGGACGCTCTGGACCGACCATAGCTTAAAAAAAATTAATTGCTTACAGAAATAATTAGGAATTTTAGAGTAAAATAAAATAAGATCTCAATCTCCTAGGATATGTTAAGATTGGTGAGATTATACCTCCTGACTTTCTAATGGCGCGGGTTCGGTTCCCGCGAATTAAAAAAAATTAATGATAACGTCTGTTTGTTTGTGTGGATTATGTATGTATCTGTATGCAGTTGAGTAGTATCTATAACAGAAACTGCTTCGAGACTAGATGGCGTTGTGTGAATTGTCTATACTTACTATTTATTTATATAGGTAATGTTTTTTTTCTTTGATCTTTAATGTATTAGTCTCATTATTACTTTAGGTGAATCGTAGTCGTATATACCTGATTAGAGGTAGGTCGTGGCAAGCCGAAAGGCAGGGGTAGTATTAATGAAAAGAATCATTATGCTTACAGATATTATCTTTATATGTATACATTTGTTTATAATATATATTTAAATATATACTTATATATGTAATTAATGTAACTTATATATGTAAGTTACGTTATGATAAAGTAACTGTTTTTTTTTATAATAAATCGTTTAGAAGTAAGGTGTTTATTATTTTAATTGAATTTATGGCTTGAGAAGAGATCTCATTATTCTTCTATTATTTGATAATCTACCTTTCGTTACGACGTGAGAATTAGATCCAATAATCTTCTGTTGATTTAACCAGCATGGGTGCGGCGTACGAACATTGGTAACCAAATATATCGTATATATGTGGAATTCTTTTCTTTTTTCATAATTTCTTTTATTATTTTACTTCGTTGAATATTCATACAGTTACATACCTGGAAATAGTTGTTGATTACTTTAATTAGTAAAGTGTGGATTGTGTAAAGTAATTAATTTGAATAAGTTTTGAATACAATGATGTTCAGGTGATTTGATTATTTTATTGTCATCAGACTAGTATTGTACTACTGAGTACAGTGTTTCTCTTTTAATTTTGGTTCATTTTTAAGTTGGAGCTATTTCGTAGTCAGAGAAATAATATAAAGGCGGGTGCTAGTATGTCAAAGTCTGAAAAAAGGTGTTAAGTGGCACAAATTCTTTAACTTTAAATTCATTGTGGGGGATTTATTTTAAAAACACGTGTGATTTACACCTTTTGGAAGTATATTGGAAATTATTCAAATTAAAAAATCATTTATTCATGTAGTACAAATTAGTCACTTATGAACGTTACATTTTTATACTATAATTTTTCCCTATCGTATACACTATTGAATCGAAATACGATTAAGAGTAGGTGGTGTTTTTTAATTTATATATTCATAGAATGGTAATTAGGGGGTTGCTTTATCAATGACTAGCTTACACACGCAACTCTGTATGCATCATACTTTCTGGACATTTATGATAGTATTTCGCCCAATTTACATAACAACTTTTTAAATTATAGCCCATGTGGTATAAGCTATATTACTGTAAAGTTTCATCAAAATCCGTTGAGTAGTTTTTATGGGAAAGAGTAACAAACGTCCATGCATCTATCTATACATACTCACAATTATAATATAGTAAGATTATTAGAACAAAGGTATATATATATACCTCTCTCTTAAAAATATATACCATATCTTGAGCTGTGCAGCAATTCATGTCAGCAGTAACACGATCATCTCTGGAACAAGATGTACACAAATTAAAATCATTCAATCACATAGTACCTACCTGAAAAATATCACTGTCTCTACAGATAACCTAGTACAGTTGGGAAGAACTGGCAAGAAATACAACTGGTAGGTTTTTAAAGTCAGTTTATTAATAATAATATTTATTTCAAGTAAAATATTTCACATTGAGACATAACCTTACAAATAATCGTCATCTTTATTTATCTCAAATAAAAACTAATATAACTGCTGCCCATACAATAATACATTAAAAAGTAATGAAGGAGACAAAACGGTCTAGAACTCAGTGGGGGCAGTGAGTCCACCCTCTCTGCTATTCTGTTATACCTTTACCAGTAAATTAATACAATAAGAAATCGACAACGATAGCACGTTATGTTCAAACTACTACTGACAAAGTGAACATAAAAATTGATAAATATAGATCTTGACCTATGGCAATTAAAGAAATGATCAATTCTCTTTGTTTGCAACGGTCTCTTCACTAAGCGTAGTATTGCAGGGATCAGATTATGTTTTAACTATTTCATTTACTGTCTTAGGGCAGTGGGTTCTAATACTTATAATAATAATATATAATCTTACACAGTTTTAAAGTCAGTTATTTCAAGTATTGTAAGTATTGGTCTGATAGAGTTAAAATCAGTTATTTAACGTATAATCTTTTTTAATATCAGTTATATAACATATAATTTTTTTAAAGCCAGTTATTTAAGGTTTCGAATATCTTGCGTCTGCCGCAGCGATCGAAAGTGAAGAGGCTGGTTTGGTTAAAAAGAAGTCACTGCGGGCACAGATCTGTGACAAGATGGTAATAAGGTTTAAGAGGGCTGCACAGATCTGTGTTAAAACGTTTGAAGGGTTATATTCTAAAACTTGGCACACGTGACGTGGATGAACATGTCTCAAAATAAATGTGCAGTGCCGCTATATAATGAATGGCTCGATTTAACTAATTAACGTAATCCTCTTGAATTGCTCATAATAGTCCATGTAAAATATACCTTTATACGAACTTTTCTTTAACTCTTTATAACGTATTTTCAACTGTAAAAGGGTATAAATACCTCTAATTGACCAATGTTCAACCAGAAACCTTTCTATAACGTTCTCACCAATGAATAACTCTTTATCCGTGATCTGTGAATGTAAATCATGTCCCTAGCTTTTAAATAGAAAGTATAGTAATTTGATCAAAAGGTGTTTGCATTTGTTATAATGAAGAACTTCACAGATGAGTATGTAATGTTGAGGTGAAAACTACAATGCAACCTAGATTTAATATATATATTACAGGTGCGAAATGAGTTTGTTTGTTACTCTTTTTTGAGAAGGTTTGGGCTATTGTCAGGTGTTATGACCTGTATAGATTTGTTGTGCTCGCCCTTATTCAAAATTCGTTAACTAGACCCTTGCGCTACAAGAATTTAAGGTTATTCTTAGGATCGATGGTTTTTATCTCAAGATATAATTACAAGCCTTACCAAATAACTAATCAGCCTCTATATATAACTGTGATAATATGGTTTATAATGTTATGGATGTAATATGAAATGTGGACATTTGGAATAGAAAATGATGTAATATACCTTTCCTGAAGAGGGAACGCCACTACACACCCTATGTGGTTGTAGCCCACTCATGCATAAACGAAATATCTCCTTTGGAAAGTTTACACTTTCCCGAGGAGATAAAAACAATCGCACATTCAATTCTTGTCCCTGACGGGTCTAGGTAGCGAACTCTGAAAAAGGGCTAGCACAATAGATCTATGTAGGTCGCAGTGCTACAGGTGCTACAGGCACCCAACAATAGCTCAAACACCCAATAAAAACAAAAATACCTTTTATTCACTGTTCAAACGCGGTTGCAAAGAAAAGCCGCTCGGCTGAGTCTGAGTGAGGTACGTTTATAACCTATAAATGAAGAACACGTGTCGGAAATTGACTAAATAACTCAAAAATACGTACGTAGTCGGATGTAAAGGTTGTCTGGATCTGTATAATGTCTATATTGATTTAAATCTAATACAATTTTGTACTTTTGAAACTCAACCGAATATCAATAGTTACGAAAATGCAATTTCATCACCACAAAGTTGCCAGCCCCAAATGTAGAATAACTGCCATTTGTTCAAATGGTAGTTTTTCCACCAGCATAATTTAGTTTTTATACCATTGTATTTATATGTATATATAATATGTATTATACACAGTTTATAAATAGGGCGCAGTAATAAAGTTGTAATTATTGAATTAATATGTAGCATTAGTGGCTGAAAATGTAATTAAATTAAAACATTTATATAAAAAAAATCTTTTCAAAAGAGCAACACACAAGTGTCTTGCTCATTCTTCTTGTAATGAATCTGCGTTCCAAATGAGTGGTAGGATAAAAATATATGACTATTCAAAAGTGCTTGCACTGAGTTTATTTGAATAAAGATTATTTCTATTTTTACTTCTAATACGTGTTTGAATTGTGTTGCCAACTGTTAGTAGTGGTAGAAATTCATTTCTGCTATATTCTGAAAAACAATAGTAATTTAGGATGACTCAGATTATCTTCTGATAATGAAATTCATCCATGATAGTATCTATAACATTGAAATGTAATACCTACTTGTGAATGTAATGCAAACATAGCCCAATAAATGAGTGTAAATGTACATATTTATATCTTCTTATATATAAAATT